ATTGAAATCCACTTGTTTACAGAAATGTACATGCTATACACAGAGAAGCAAATGAACACCCGGTCTCGAAGCTACATTTGGAAGGCAAAGGCTATATGAAGCGTTTGAGAGCAATGAGTAGTGAAATGATGTTCTTGCGCCAGTATAGTAGATCTCTGAATTGATGGTGGCAATTGCCACCACCAGGTCCGAAAGGGTTAAGACAGATCTGGAATCAGCGTTTAATGTACTCCACTACGTCATACAAATCATCTCAAAAGGCCACTTCGACCAACCATCCTTCCCTTGTGAGACAAAATCGTCCAGAATTGTTTAAATGGAGGAGATAATTATCAAAGCGCTTCATTCAATTAATACCTTCAGGGTACGGCACAGATTGTCTGGAAGTAGGCTAGACTTCGTTTCTGGGACAAAAAGCAAAGGGAATATCGTCTTTGCGGGGTCCGGGGGGGGGGGAGGCTCGAAAAAAATGTGTACATACATCACTAGCTAAGCATGTGGAGGAAAACTACACATACAGTGTGCAAGACAATTCAGCAATTCCTGTAATGCCAGAAGCGACCACTCAGTCATGCACAACCATTGAAAGCAGGTTATTACACGATGGACGTGCTCTATCGTGTCTTGCGAAAAGCGCGCGCGATTTATAAGCAAGTCAAAACTGACAAATTGCTTATTTACAGCGTAGAGACAAGTATATGACACCAAATTTAGATTATAAGCATATAGTATTATTTACGGAAGAATTATGTAAAAAGTTCTGAAACCTTGTGTGAAGTAGTACCTTTTCCATATTTAGTCTGTTTCCAGACCAAACGATCTGATGATATCGTCTGGAGCATATATTTTTGTTATACACTTCACATAAGTTTCTGATTTTTCTATCATGGACGGATTCTCCGGTTAAGAATTCATCCCTGAGCATGGAAACATTTTCATATCGCTGTCTTTCCCCATTTTTATATCGTTGCCTTTCTTTTATTCTTTGCCTCAATTTCTTCATAACTCGCTTTGTTAGATATCGCGCTCCAATGTCAAGCTTTTGTGCATGCGTATGTTCAGCTCTACTTTCAGTTTTTACTCATATTTCACGTTTTTACTTTCAGACTAATGACTCTTTTATGTTTCCAGCTTCTCCTAAGCTGATAGATCTCCAATAAGGGCCACAGGGGACTTCGTAGTTTTCGAAAGTCAGGGGGGATTTCGTTTTTAAAAACCCTGGAAACCGACTCATGCCGGGCCCTGAATACCTTCCATTTAATACCCTCACACTCAATACTGCTTTAGTTGACAGCAGAAAAGACTGTAACCATTGTTCCTTGCATAGATTCTGCGTTCATTTTTTGCTGCAAAAAACAATCATAACTCGGCCTCTAGAAGCGCTTGGTAGATAATAAAAGCATATTTGGTATCAGCGTTTAATGCTCTTTAAACTGGTTTAAAGCTCAACTGGAAATGCCATTTCGACTGAACACGCTTCCCTTGTGAGTTGAAACTTAATATACCTAAACGTGAGCTTATCATGAATCTCAGTCTTCAGACATAACAGTACTACCGCTTCTACAAGAAAAATTCTTGAAAAACTCATAGAAATCAGATTACTCGACTGGCCAAAAAGTAACAAGTAACAATATCTCACCATCTGTCCGAATGGTGGTTCCTGGTGGGTATACCAGCACTTTACTCTCGGATACCATTTTTGACTGGGTTTGTGCTGCTAATAAAGGTAAAGCAGTTGGCGTCAGATTTCAAGAGTATCCAAAGCGTAGGATTGAGTTGAACAGTCAAACCACTTCTTTGAAAATTACGGGTTCGAGCCAACTGCTCATTTTATCTGCGTCCTACCTCCGTAAGAGAGGTATGACTGGAAGTGTCGGTAATGAATTTTCGAGGCATTTTCCCTGCAGAAACCGAGTACCACAGGGCTGCACACTATCTCCACTTTTCTCTTTCTTACATATACCGCGAAATTATCGTGACTTTTGGAAGGCCTTTCAAACATTTAAGGTCCAGATTTTTGCAGATGACATTGAGTATGCTATAGAGATGAAGAACAACAGCAGGCTCACGATGTAATCAATTCCTCTTTACAAAGAATGATATCTTAGTCTAAACAATGGGATATCCCGCTGGAATTATATCTAAGTCTAAGCCATGAGATATCCTGGTGAAAGCGCTCAAAACAAAAGTGATGTCATTTGTAAATCCTCACTCCTAATTTATGTGTGCAATGAACTTGGACAATGTAGTGGGACTAAACATATAGTGGCTAACGCGTGTTAACGTTGCTTTAGGCATAGTTGTCGCCTTGGTAGGAGTATCTGCAGTGTGAAATGCACTAACGGTGCCGTCGGCTCCACCTTTTAAAAAATGCGTGAAGCGCCGCTTCGATAAAACTAATCTGAAAGCCAGATTTCCACAAAAAAGAGGTTTTATTGGAAAAAGTTCATTCCAATCTATCCAAGTCTGCAACCATTTTTTGCAAAACCTCGCCTTGTCAATTTTAGCTGACCCCAAATCTGCCGCCAATTGTTGCACTCATATAATCGAAGCGGTCGTCAGGTTGGACTCAGCTAAAGTGACAAGGCACGGGTCTTGCAAAAAGTAGTTGCGGATTTGTGGCGATATGTATCAATCTTCAGTTCGAGTAAGTGTTCCCGTATAGGCCGTAATCCAGTAAGACGCAGACGCTCAACACCCATGATAGGCGAACGTGGGCGCCTAACGTGCAAGAGCCCAATCTCCTTTGTGTATAAGTCGCTTGAGAAAGCGCGTCTGTTGGATTAGGTGGTCGAAAACGTAAGCAAATCGAACGATCTAATCACTAGTCATTGAGTAAGATGATTATTGCTACAAGATTGTCCGATTTAACTTTCTTGGTTTAATTATGGATTTACAAAGCTCCAGAGCCCGATCTCTTCAGTCCGGGCTCGGAATCTTTTGTAAATTCCAAGGTTAAATCATTAAAAATTCAAAAGACACAAATCTCTTGCAACATAACAACTATCAAATCTTACTCGATGACTAGTGATCAACACGTTTCGGACCGCGAAATCGCGCGCGGCGAAAAAGAGTGTACTTTCAACCGTTAGCCAACAAAGGGACCTTATTTTGAAGACTGTGTGCTACACCTGTAATCAACATGTCGGATAAGCTCCATACCCGAAGTTCTGGGTGAATTCGAAGTGTTTGAATTTTGCCACTTGAGAAGGACTTTTGTCTTTTCTTGCAAGATAGAAACAAGAACTCAATTTCTTATAGTATCCAAAAGTGTCTATATTGCACAAGGTACACATCATTATTGAAACTACGGTTTTTCTCTTTGGAATCGAAGCAAAGAAGAACTGCGACGTCGCACGCGTCGTTCGCGTTGCCGCACTTTGTTGCAACTCTTGTTCGACTTGTCCTCATATCTCCTAAACGAATAATGGCAGCAGAACTCTACAAAGTTGCTTGAAAAATAGAAGCTTAGGCCTTTGATTTGATAACCTTGGATCAAAAGAAAACTCTTTGTAAACGTCAAAAAGACTCTTCAAAGCAGCGTGCTGCATCATGTGCAGCACCGGTCCGAAACGTGTTAAATCATTCGATTTGCTAACTTTTCGGCCACCTAATCAAAGGGACGCGCTTTTTCACACAACTTGTACACAAGCGAGATTGGGTAGGTGTCCAGCATTGCAGACCCACCCGACTCTGCCTGGCCATGTTTTGCACGGACAGACGCTCACGCTCGCGCACCATGGTTCTTTGGCTTCCGCGTTTTACAGGACTACAACCTGTTCGGAAACGCTCACCCGAACGGAAGATTGATTGATACTGCCTTTGATACGTACTGCCTTTGGATAGATTGGAATGAGCTCTTTCCGCTGATACCTCTTGCTTTGTTGAGATCTCGCTTTCAGGAGCGTTATCCCAAGGCGCCCACGGTACCGTAGGTCGGCATTCTAATGAGTCACTTGCTCGCATTGGGGCGATGGTAGGGTGCTGACGGTAATAGGCGTGCTAGAGTAACACAGACTATCACAGCGGTTCATGCTTTTGGTATCTCTGAGAGTAAAAATATGGTTGTTAGGAAGGTGCCGACAATGGCGGCCCTCTTGACGACACCGGGGCTTTTTGACACATGACGATGCGGTCCCACGGTACCAAAATAGCATTGTCTGTTATCTTCATTATCTTGAAAAGTATGCAGTTAGCCGGCTTCAGTCGCAATTTCGATTGGAGAGGGGGTCCAGTAAGACTAAGATCCAGTAAGTACTGGAAGTTTAGACCAAGTTGTAGTCAGACTGGAGGTTTCCTTGTGATATCAAAAATTGGGAAGCAGAATCGTTTCTACTGCGTTCAATTCTTTCGTATATGCTGTACGGCTTGGGGATAAGTTTTTCACCGAACAACTTGATCTGTTTTAGAAATTCGCAGCCATTAATATCCTGGAAATGTTAAACATTTTTGATGTTTGCAATTGTCTCCCATCTTGCTTTATGCGAACTCTGATTTTCATGGTTCGCTTTCTTTTAGCATGTCTTGGAATGCTCGACATAAATTTTTGCAATTTCGATGACTCTCTTCAACAGCTACTAATCACTTTTGCCTACGCCGATTTTTTGTATCCATTTTTGACAGAGTCAAATGAATTTTTTAAGAGAATCCGTTCAACGATAGCCACGACTAATGAGTCCTTTAACTTGAGGTCCCCCACCCGTTCGCCCAGGGCCCATAAAGGATTCTCCTTTTCCAGATTAAGCTGGTCAGCTATGCCCTTGTAATTATACCGCCTTGATTTAAGTTCGGGCATGAAAACAGAAACTCGACAAGAAAGTTATCGTTTGACAAAGTGAAACAATTGAAACCACTAAGAGAGGACGTTCAATAGAATATTCTTTTGAACTCACGTTTCACTATTTTACTACATTATTGTCAATTTTGGCGCGGTTTGTACATATATCATAAATAGATATATAAAAGATTCCTCCTGCGTAGTAATATCAGATCTTTTGCAGTTATTGTTCGGGAAACCACTCAATTCCCTTCATCCGATGTCACCGTTGGATTCCCCGTCCCCTATTGAAGCAGGTGCATCTTGCAATAGTGAGATATCGAGGCATACTAAATCCTTTCAGGTCTGCCTAAATCCCCGCTTGACATCGCTTTACCAGAAGCTAACACTCTCCCTCCTCCAACTCTGCCCATGCCCACTTTGGATTCCTTTCGCCCCAGGTAAATGCTACTCAAAAATGCCTTGCTCAACAATATAGTGACAGAGAATTTATAGCAGATACATAGGTTGAAATTGTTCAAAAACAGAGGACTAGAGTTTGATTTGGAACAGTCAACCACTTCTTAGAATGCGTACAGAGGAGCCTGTGTCAGCGCAGGATATGGCTCAATTCCTAAGGGTACTTCCGCAATGGGGCTGACCGACGCTGGCACGCAGGCAACACTGGACGCAACATTAGTATGAGGGTCTGTTCATTTTGGTTGCTTCTAGAGGATTACTCGGTAGCAGAAGAATCGCCGATAAATTGGAAGAGTTGCCACCTTGTCAACGCCAATGCGTGAAAACCCTTCACGACACACTGGGAGATGTTCTGCACAATGGAAATTATGTCGATAAATATCGTAAAACCTGCTCGTAAGTTATTAGTGCAGCGCAAACTGCTTCGTATCAGTCATTTTCTGCAGAGCATATAAATATGCAAGGAAGTGTGTAAAAAAGCAACAAGAGCTCTGTAACGAAAATGGAGAGTTGTTTGCGGTAGCCACTTCTGGTATTCATTATATGTGCATCGAACAAGGCAAAGGTTTGTTGCAAGTCTTAGATTTGGTTGTTATAGGTGGAACATTTTGTAGCTTTCAATGCGACCATAGAATGCGTCGAACGCAATGCTGTCCAAGTTCAAGGAAGTGAGTTGCGTGTTTGCTTGCCAATCTTTGTAGGTTCAAAGTGTGGTTTCTTTTTTTTAATCCCCTTCACTAATGAGCTAACAGTAGCAGAATTACGGTTGAGTAAGTATGTATACGATATGATTAGATCGGACCCGGGTTCAATCTCGCCCTTGAGCCAACGAAGTCCTCTACACTCGGGGCCGGTAAATTGGTACCAGTGTAATCTGGGAGGATAGAAGCGCTGACTTGGTAATCGGCTGGTCTCCGCAAGTTACTGTCAAAGGCTCGCACGCGTTTGGCTTCTTCAAACGTGAAGTAGGGAGCGTTCGGCGCATGCCCGCAGAAGGTATTGAGAACCTTGAATCCTTCATCCTTCATGATTTACGGCATCGTCTAACTTCCGGCAAGATATTTGTTTCACTTCTTGCATATCTTGCTTCAAGGACACTTAGTGCTCTACAGATTATCTCAGAAGTTTGTATACTCCATGGCATCATTGGTAAAGGCTATCCCGACGACATGTCCCAGCTTGAGCGGCCCCTCATGTGGCTTTCTCGTCCGAAGCTTGCGTCGAGCTTGCAGGTGTATCGCGCGGGCGTTTTGCCAACTGTTAAAGGTTGTTTCCGGACAGTTTGAGTGCAGCTTAAAGGCACCGTCCACCCAAAATTTCGACCTCCATGTTTTTGTCGTTCCAGGGCGTTCTCATACCCCTGATTCCAAATATTAAGTTGAAATCCGCGAAAACCACGAAAAACCCCCGTTTTCAGAACCCGCAGAACGATTTCTTCGGTACGGTGATTGGTTGGGCGCGCACGGATGGGCGGGACGAACGTCACGCCCATTCCGAAAGGGGAGGAGCCAGCGTCGCGAACGCAGCCTAAAGCGAATTCCGAAGCAATCTTGGCTCGGAAGCAACTTCAGGCAGCGCGAATTGGGCAATCATACAGTTGGGGGCCCCACATCTGCTAGGTATCATAATCTCACCAACCCTAATTTGGGTGGACGGTGCCTTTAATTGCGATTGGAGCGCTCATTGTAGAAGCCATAGCCCGATTGTAACTCAAATACCGCCTCCGGAGGGAGAAAATCGCTTCACAGTTCGGTAGCCACCCTCGATCCGGTCTTGTCCTTTCCAACGGGAAAACGTGGCGAGACATGCCGCTGCAGCCAGTGATAGGCGATGTGCCATCACATTGATCCGTCTCGGTATGAACGAGACTGAATCGATAGCCGGCTAAGTCGAAACTTCTTATGCGATTTTCTTGCATCAACAGCGGTGTTCAGCCTAACTTATATTTCAGAATCCATGAAGAAACTTTATTACACAAAGAGAGCGCGATACTGGTGACCAGCACGTCAGATACTTCACTGCACAAAGTTTTGGGCAAGGCTATTTCTTTGACCACTTGCCTCCCCTCTGGTAGTCCCGCGAAAGTACGTTATGCCACCGTAACATGACAGAGTGCGCTACCTTACGAAATGTATTAGGTTGAACCAAAAGTTCTGTCGCACCATTTTCAAAAAATCATAACTTGCTTCAGTCACGAAGATTTTGAGCAATTCAAATTTTCTCAGAAAGGTGAAGCATGCAGTTTCTAAAAGTACCCTGGTTACATTCTAATATGCTCAGCTTGCAGAGATAAAAATGAAAGAACGTGATCATCCGAAATTCGGAATTTTTAAGCAAAAATTCTAAAAATCTGGAAACTGTGCGATAAAATCCAGAACAGCCACTATCTTGAGTTTTCTTATACTTTATCACTAATTGAGCCAAGTTTGCGCTGATCGAGATCTTCTTTCAGGAGTTATGATTTTTTTTAAAAAATGCAGAAAAGTCGATTTCTTAATTCCTAGGAAATTGATTTTTCGGCATTTTTTCAAAAATTCATAACTTTTGAAAGAAGGGCTCGATCAGTACAAACTTGACTCAGTTAGTAATAGTATATAAGAAAACTTAGGATGATGGCTGTTCTGGATTTTATCGCAAAGTTTCTGAATTTCTAGAATTTTTGATTAAAAATTCCGAATTTCGGATGATCTCGTTCTTTCATTTTTATCTCTGCAACCTGAACATGTTGGAAAGACCCCAGGGGACTCTTAGAAACTGCATGCTTTACGATTTCTGACAAAACTTGAGTTGCCAAAAATCTTCGTGACTGAAGCAAGTTATGATTTTTTGAAAATGGTGCGACAGAACTTTCGGTTCAACCTAATATATGATATTCATTTAAGCGCGCCAAATGACGCTCCTCAACGAAGTTTCGAGCAAATCGGTGATTTTGACCCAATAATCCTAACATAATCCCTCCATACGACATTAACGTACAAAATAGTTATGACCTTCGTGCTCATCATGTTAGATAACATCTAGACGAGATAGCAAGAACAGCGATGTTCACTTTTGTGGGTCTACTAATGTGGAGGGTTCTGATTCCATCAAAGTGATCGAAATACCATCTTTTCTGCAACCCTTATGTTGAAGCAGAATTGTCCTATGGCTGTAGCTGAAAAACTGCGGCGTAGTCAAATTTCAAAAAATTAACAGAATCGGTAGCCACTCACCATCAGACAGGCCAGACCTGAGGTGGCGCGGAAGATAGGGAAGTGCCGGGCGCTTTTACGAAGCACCTCCTCGTTATATGGAAAGTACGAATGTTCCGCGGAATTCCCTTCTGTTCCACAGAAAATAGATCGCGAACATTCCGAATTTAGCAAACCTCAATCAGCACTAAAACCCTATCGTAGCCCCTAAACACGTTCTAGTTCTAAACGCCGAAAACCCACCTACAATTAGTTTTTTTTGGAAAGAAGAAACGCTACTAGACATAGCACTATCATCTCATGCTGAAAGAGCAACCATTACACATATTATAGCTTCTGCCCCACTCAAACTAGCCTTGAACACCAAAAACCCCGCTTTAGTTAGTTTTTTATTCGTAAAAGAGGGGACACTACTAAACTGTATACTATCTAATCAAGCTGATGATAGAGTAACAATCACAAGTTCTATGGGTATTAGAATAAATCGAGCAATGGACACGAGGTTCACACATTTGAGTGGCATACTAGGATTAAATAAGAGAGATCGAAAACAGCTAAGCGCACAAGACAAGAAAAAAATCAGTTTATAAGAAATGAGATGAAAAAAGCACAATGATAACATAAGCACTTTTTTTGCTGTGAGGAAAAATTTAAAGAAATCGAATTGACTGGGTGAAGTCATCGTTATTATGAATGAGATAAGACAAAAGATAATCCCTCTATATTAGGTTGTCCCATCAGTCTTTTTCTCGCTGTAATAAGTCATACACTTCTCAAATAGGCATCAGGGGCGGTATGCATTGATCTCCCGTTTTGAAAGCGCCCGGTCGGGTTGGCAGCCTGATCCGTGATGTATGAACTGTTGGAAATGATCGCCCGCTTTCAAAACGGGGATTGATGCATACCGCCCCAGGATGCCATTCGAGAGAGCAAAGAGCTCTATAAGATGGCCTTTATGCTTTGCCCCAGCTTCAATCCACTTCAAATATGAAACCAAAATCTGAAAAATTTTCAGATGACCAGAAAATTGAAAATTTTTTGTCTTCTGTCAAAAAAGTCCTGCAGATCCCTCACTTGCTCACGGGAAAGCTTTGGAGGTATTGAGCGGGTTCCGCGTCCTTCTGGAAAAGGGACAGGCTTTGAAGTATCATAGTTATATGGATAAACTGCATGAAAATTCAGAACTACAAAGGAATTCCAATACTCTCGGAAGAGTTGGGTTCAATAAATTTAGCTTCACTCCATAAAAAGCCTTGAAGTATTATAACCTTTGGGTAAATTACAAGGGTTTTCAGGCACGTGAAACAAGGGGGTGGTTCTATAGTAGGGCTAAGGGATGTTTTGCGAACTCCGTGTCATTTAGGAAAAAGCCTAAAGAGAAAAGAGAATTTTTAGCACCAGAAAAAATTTTGACGTAAAGGAAAGGCTGTATTTCTTGTGGAAAACTTTTGTAATCAAAGTTATCGCTTCACTCCTTATAGAAGCCCTATAGTGCGGAAGGATTTTAAGGCCCGTATGCACGTACATCCCCGCTGGGGGGGGGGGGGGGGGGAGGGGGGGGGGGAGGAGGGGATCTGTTAGGGGATGCGTCATATCTCGCTACCTTTAGACTCTTTCTTCTTTCTTCTCTATCATGCTTACGAAGGTTCTCATGCCCTTATACCTGCGCATAGTGGGTGTCAAGTTATTGCCATAAAAGGATGGTTATTTGCTCTTTTGTGTGATCCCATGGGGATCCCTAAGGGATCACCTCTCATTTTCGAATTCATTTATCTTTTCGGGGAAGTCAATAAAAATGCCGCAAAATTGTACTGAGGATTTACTACGGCTCTGCTAAACATGTTTATAGTAGAAATACGTGAGATCTCAATATATCGAAATCTTCGATGAACCACTGCTTGCGAGCTAGGGATTATCGAAAAGTTCACAATCTCCAGATTCTAATTCTCCTGTCGACATGCTTAGCAGTGCCGTAGTATGTCCTCAGTACAATTTTACAGCGTTTTCATTGACTTCTCAGGGAGTTAAATCACTTTAGAATGGGAGGCGATTCCCTCCCTAGCAGGGATGTATTGAGGAAGCCGTTTTAGAAAATATTGGCACAACTTTCGAACGACCAATGTAGGTAATCGAGTAACTTTGGTCAAAATTAGTGCTCAAAAACGGTGCAGCGAATTGTGAGTCTCGTTTGTTTGTACTTTAAGCTGCAGCATGAAGCAAATTGTTTTTTTCAAGTGTGTTCTTTTTAAAGGTCATATCCTATTCGATAGTATCGTCAACTGTTTGCTGTGGAAAAGAAACGCTTCGAAAAACGAGAGGCCTATTATTAGTGTGCAAATAAGTGTAGCCTTGACTCACTAATGTATTGGCCCACTTGCTAGCGACCCTAAGGGTCGCTAATCAGTGTAAATAGTCTGTGTCAATGCGTACTAGTTTCAAATACCGTATGCCGAATTTGGCTTGCCCGCAGTGCAACGTCAGGTGCAGTATAGTTGTAGCGGACGGAAATTTTCATCGAATGAACGAACACCGGATGATTGATTTTTGAAAGTTTTTCGAAGGAATGACGAGTAATTGATTTTTGAAAATTTTTTGAATGAATGAGATTCATATTATTCGAATTCAAATATTTGAATGTGGTCATCCCAAAATTCGAACTTCCAAATACTCGATAAACCAAATTTGATCGAATATCCGACTACTCGAATAAACGAATAACTGAATATCATCGAATATTCGAATGCAATATTCGAATAATATAATATTCAAATATTCGAGCGAATATTGTAAAGTAGTTGAATAGTCGAGTGTTCGAATATTCGAGCTGTTTTCAAGGCTTCTCGAATCGAACATTCAAACAACTTTTTTAAAATTCCTCGAATATTCGAACGTTATTTTTCCAAGTTGTCGAATAAACGAATTATTCAAATAAAAACCTTTTTATTTATCCGACTGTTCGAATAATGAATAATTGGAGTCGAATATTTCGAATAAACTACTCGAATACAAATATTCAGTGCCAAATATAAAGTAGGCAGGCGGCATGTGCCGTTGCACTGCGGACCACATACTCGAAGTATGAAACCGGAACTTTCCAGACTACTGTTTTCTAAACACTTGCGTTAGCAAGCATTTCGCAGAACGAGATCTTTATCATTTTATAGTCTGTGAGTATCAGTGCCATACAAGGGAGAATCTAATCAAAGTGATTACTGAATCAAGGTTCATGCAGCCTTTTGGTAAGCACTGTTGTATTGATGACAATGTTTGGAAGATATTTGGCTCTGTGAAGGTAGAGCACTTGCGACCCTCCGTTCCGACAGTGCTCATCCTGCTGCGTTTGGCGAACCACACATACCCATGGATCCGGAACTCTACCACTTTGGACATCCAGAAGGAGGATTAGGTCCTCTGTTATCATTTACCAATCACAAATTTTTCAAAATTTACTTTTTAGGGCTGATGGATCCTATGGGAAGTTTGGACGGAGCGTCGCAGCATGGTACGTGCAGCAATTTAGCTTAGCGAGAATTCGTTGAAATTGTTCAGATATAGGCGACCCGATGCATGACTATGCGACCATCGCCGCTCACGCCTGCCAGTTGGTGAAAGTTGACAAAAAATCTTGAAAATGAATCTTCATTGCAGACAATTCGAATGTGCATTGAAATGTTTGAGAGGAAAATATGATATGCTATGCGCGCCCAACAGTGGGATGTTATTATCTGTAAGTGTTAATTTCATCGGTCAATTCGCGCGACGAAAGAAAGGAGTGCTGGAAAATTGTAAATTCTGGTTGAAAGTTATGCTAATTTCGAAAGGGGAATGGCATTAGATTGGTTCGAAAGTCCTTTTCGTTTTTACGACTTACCGTAAAACACGTGACAGTGTCAAAACTCGTAGGCGAAGGTTTTCTTTTTCTTTACACCAGCTAGTACAGTCGAATCATTTCATATGATCATGTGTGTCACTGCACACACTGTCCACCTTTGGCGTCCCCATCCTGGAAATGCAATCGCAAAAACGCGAAAGACCGACCGATTGTTATTGCTTACATCACTTTGTGAAGATTGGTACTCTAAAAAAAGAAGAAGCATGAAGAAAACATCGGAAAACACTTGCAGAAGGGCTGTGTGTTCCTAGAATCCAGGATGAGGACGCCAAAAGTCGACAGTGTGACACACATTATCATATAACATGATTGGACTATATGTGCTTACAGAAGGCTGCACGTCAGGGGGTACGCCGCGCGCGGCGGCCGCTTCGCCGCCGATCTTGGGATCCCTAGAGCTCCCCATATCAGAGACTCCCGGCGGCAAAAAACGGGGGTGGGGGTGAAGGCAGATACGCGACTCAATGCCATAAGTAACATTGCGCCTGGAGTGCTGCTGTTGTATTGATTGTAGTACGCTGCGGCGTTGCTTCGCGAAAAATTCGCGCCGATCGTACCTCCTGACCGTCTCCCCCCCTTACAGAATAATCGCTGAAATTTCGAGCCCGTGGTTGTTGATGATTTATGTATCATCAACCTCAACAATTCTATAATCCTAATAGCTTACGGGTATTCCCCATAGGCTATATTCCCCAATCGCTTATATTTAAGTGCCGAATCACTCACCAATGAGTGGCACCTATCTTCCAGGGGCCGCGCCAAGCCGCGGCATCCTCTTTCTTGCATATATTTCATGGACATTCCGATTGTGCACGGGTCAGCTCCGCCTTACTTCCTATATAAGGAGCCCCCGATTGTATTATAGGTTGCTCCCCGGTCCAAAACCGGGTTCGTCTGTGGATAGATTATTATCGACACCACTATCGCCTACGACACTTGGTTCCCACCAAAGTGGTTCTTGCAATGTTTATTCAGTCTCTTAGGTTTTCATTTTAGACTTTTGGAAGAGCGTAACGAATAAGCAAAGTGCAGATGAATTCTTTGGGAGTTTGGCGTTAGTACACAGCCGAGGTGCGAAAATCTGCAGTTGTCAATTGGATGTACACACTAGGCCACACCCTCCACTCAGACAATCGCCGGGGGCAGGCGGGCACCGGAAAAATAGATAGCTGATCTCTCGCACCCCGCTCGCGGATCTTTTGGAAAGCAACCAGGACTTTTCGGAAGACCGCTTGCTGAATTCTCGATTTCTCAGAGATTCAGCAATATATCTGCAAAAGATAAGAGCGAAAAAAATTCAACAGGCGGTCTCTCAAAAATCCGCTGACTCAGCAAGCGGTCTTCCGAGAAGTCCTGATTGCTTTTTAAAAAATCCTCGAGCGGAGTGCAAGAAATCAGCAATCTATTTTTCCGGTGCCCGCCTGCCCCCAGCGATTGTCTGAGCAGTTGCTTGTTTGAAGGCAACAGCCTCAAATCTTTGTCCCGTGTTTTTGTCATTTTGTGGCCTGTTCGTGGCTCTTGTTACAGATATGAAGTTGTGCTGCGAAATGTTAAAAATCCCTAAAGAACCCGATTTCTGAAAGTCCTCATTTTGAAGGCACGGACGAACAATATCTGGGCGGGCGTGGCTCGAAAGCACTATTGCGGGTTCGGGGTCCATTTTTCCATATACAGGCCACATTAGAGGAACAAACGAAATGCCGCAGATGCCTACTCCTAGGGCCTTCTTGTAACTAGGTACTGATCCGGGGAGCATAGGTTTTGCATGGGCGCTGCCTTTGAATTGGCGCTTGCGACCTATAAAATCGTAGTGAGCAGCAACAAGTGGAAAGCTTTGAATCAGGGCCCGGCGGGGGTGGCGCTTTCACAAGCTGGATATGGTTTTTGGCCCGAAAAAGCAAAGGGGAAGAAAATACGACTTCGCCTTTGTTTACCGATAAACAATGCACATATCATTCTTTATTCATCATTCCTTGTTGATGCTACTGTCCTATGAACTTAGATTCCAGCAATGTGAAGATTCTGTGATCCGATCGCTAGCTTGCCCGCAGGCAAATCGCAATTCTTGTAAGAGGAAAATAACAAAATAGGCTCGTTTTCAATGCACAAGTAACGATATGGCACCAAATTTGCTGTATAGTTGGAGGACCATGAGCACAAAAAAGTATGAAGAATTATGAGAAACTTATGTGAATTTAAAAAATGGTAAGTGTTTTTCGAAATTAGGTGGCTCCCTCGCCACCTGGGAGCAACCTTGAGTGGCTCCCTGCTTCCCTTCACATAATTTCCCGATTTTTTTTACATAAATGTGGACTAGGTCAAGAGTATTACTATATGTTCAAATCCGCTTCCAAAACCACCAAGGCACCGCTTCGATACAGCCCCAAATAAGGTTCACAGCGTTATGATCGGCCTCGGAAAGCGCGCTCCAATCGCAATCGGTTATTGTAAATTGTAAAGTTTCGCAGCTGACTAATAAGTGAGTAGTATCTTAGATATATAAACGTTTCAAAGTTTGTGCAAATCTTGACCCTATGTTATTATAGATTCCTTTGTGGATAAACCCATTGAGCTGGAACCTTGAAAACATATGTTTTCGGCCTCGGTAGATGGTTTTGTGCTACCCTTCGAAGCAATTCGTGGAATTCTTCTATCGAATTAATGATTTTTGGCAGCTTGCAAGGAAACTGAACACTTACCAGCCGCTAACAAACTGCTTGCACATTTTGGTGTGAACAATGCAGTGAAGTTCATTTCCACTTTAAAATTAGAAGGTGCAGTCATTCCAATAAGCCTTTCTGGGGTAAGCTCGTGCAGGAGGGTAAGGGGGAGGGCTGCAGTGCAGTATTGACACTGCAGAAAAGGGATGGAGAATATGGCCCAAAAGGACGGGAAGTTAGAAGGACAAAGTGTGGTTTTTGGCCATCCCCTCAAATGATGACCCGGGCTGGACCAGGAAAGCCAGGTAGTACTAATATAATAAGCGCTGAGGCCGCCCATCTTATTATTTGTGTATATCTGTTTGTCAGGGACTTACGGGGGTCAAAAATAGGGTCAAAGGGGAAGTCGTAAGAAATTTTGGCTTCAAAGGGGATATCGTTATCAAAATTCTGAAATGCCACCTCCTGCCGGGCCCTGCTTTGAATCTGAAATTTTCTGTATCAAATGTATAGTCAGCCTTCGCCTATGCGCACTAGATCAATGACTTTGTACGTGAATAAGGAAAACGAGCTTCTGGAAAAGCCTGAAACGCAGTGTCCAGGCAGATCTGTGTCTGAATCTCTCTTCTTAATCTGATTATGGGTGGATCTCAAATAAGCCAGCATCCTAGCTGCAGTGCAACTGATTCGTTCATGGACGAAAAATAGAAGTAGACTCTAATCCAGACCTTAGTAACATCTTTAGGGAGCTGTTTGATGTTTGAAAGAGTATGCTCCGGACTGAGATTAAGTGTCTAGTGTTTAAGTGCCTTCTTAACATAGCAGTTCCGTTGTAAATAATAGCTTGATCAAACTCTTAGTTAGGGTCTACGTAGAAGATTCAAAGACATAAATTGCTGCACGCCCTCTGATTTAACGAAAAGCTTCTCATTGCAGGAAGCAATAATACGTCCCATGGCGTTGGGCCATCGAATGTTTCCGCCGGCCTTCCTTGCCCTTGGCATGATGCTTCCAGAAAGCTGCAAGTTTCTTTCAAGGTGGGGACAATGACATTCCTCTGAACTGAAGAGCCACACGTACATTCCAGCGGCACGCGCATGCTTCGCCACCGAATTGATCCTTCCATCCACGCTGAGCTGCTGAGAAAGTTTGGAACAACCGATGAAGTATGTTTAATGCTTCATGCTTCGCAAAGAGTTCATCACTTCTTAGGAAGAAGACTATGAGGATGAAGACTATGTTGAAGAAGATCCCAACAACAAGTCACCTATCTACGGCAACGTGGATCTGGAAGCACTTGGTCAGTTTTAGTCTCTACAGCAGTATGTTTTTGATTACTAGCTGAGCTTCCATTTTGGTGGAATTTCATCTTATAGCCCAAATTATCTCAGTTCAGAATATAGCCTAACAGTATTGATGATTGGCCTATGTAATGCCGACAACGATTGCGCTTAAAGCAGCGTCCGGGCAAAATTTCGCCTCTCGTGTTTCTGCCATTCTGGGGCCTTTCCGTGGCCCTGATTACAGTTGTAAAGTCCAATTTGTTCAAAACTCCAAGAAAAAAAAACCCGGTTCTTGGGGAGCCTTTCTTCAAGGAGCGGACAAGTTTCGAATTGCTCGTCCTCATCGTCATGCCAGCGGGAGGAGCTGCAACTGCACGGATGCAGTTGCATTGCAGTGTGCAGCGCAACTGCAATGCAACCGCACACCTGCGTAAGCACTCGTCCTCAGGGGTGGATTGTGATACGAAGGGGCGGCTTGTGATACGTATCACAGGCCCGTATCTCCTTTTAGAGGGCACGTCAAAGGATCGGACCAACGCAGATCGGATACTCGTGGGCCCCTCTTTACAACTATGTGCTAATCTGGGTGGATGGATCTTGCCTGGACGCTGCCTTTAAAACTTATTATACATAATGGCAACAACACTTGCGCATGAATGTGACCACAGGACGCATTCAAGTTTGCGCTTCATGACCGTTTTTGACGCACAATCGTTGTCGGCTGTGGAACCTCACAGCATCTCAGACAATCGCAAATTACTCCCGGGAGAAACTGAACTTGTAAAACTTCCGAGGGAAGATCCCACTGAGCCGTGTGAATGGGTAGTTCCAAAATGAAGTTCTAAAACTTCCCCCCGGAAGTTTTAGAACTTCATTTTCCACCGGAAGTCATTTGCGACTGTCTGAGATCAACCGTCAAATCTGATAGTGGTTACTTGCAAGTCCTTTACGCACAAGTGCGAACCCGCGATGGTGTAAGGTGACAATGTTGTAGTAGTATGTAAGAGTAAGCAATATATTGCAGTATTATGTAAGAAAACGAAGTAAGATACGCAGTAGAGGGACTGAGCTAGAGAATAGGACATGTCAGAGAGTTTTTTTTAAATTCAGAGCAATCAAATGTACTAGGGTTATTCTAATAGACATTATACTATTTCTGAGCGTAATGCATTTCTGCAGTGCGAATGCATAGTGGCTTGACTGTCTTCGTAAAAACTCATTTTAACCTTGTATCAAAAATAATCACCTTTTAAGTAAAGGTAGTTGACGTTTATGGTAACCATAATAGTTTGCAGATACAAATTTACTTGTAACTTTGACAGAGTACAAGACAGATAACAAATATCGTGTATTTTGTAAGGAAAATGCTGATCCTTTTTGTGTTTTTAGCAAACTTTCAAATTTTCATATTTCTTCAGGGGTAAACTAAAAATCCCAACTACCATATACCTAACGGAAAGAATGGCCCTTATGCGCATGTAACGATGTTTTGGACAGCTTACCAAGTGGCCTTTCTCCTAAACTTACTTACTTAGATACTTAGATGGCCCGTCCTCACGTGACGTGCGGGCCCCAGTACAGAAGTCGCCATTGATCCCTGTCCCTCGCTTCGGACATCCACAATCTTCTTGGTCGTCGTCGGTGGCTGCGTCCACGAGTTCCAGGGGCAAGAATCGTATCCAGCTGATTTCTCAGCTGGTCCATCCGTTCCACGAACACGTCTGCCCATCTCGTCGGTGGTCTTCCTCGAGGACGTTTGGCTTCGCGAGGAATCCACTCAGATGTTCTTAGTGTCCATCTATCGTCCGTTCTTCTCATTATGTGACCGGCCCATCGGTGTTTCGCTTTCGCAACGTATTCCGCTGGGTCACGAAGACGGGACATTCTTCTCATATCCGTGCTGCGAAGTCCGACTAGATGTTGCTTGTGTCGGGTCATCTTCAGAAGACTGCGCTCGAGCGCTCTGTGGGTGGTCCTTAAAGCTTTCGACGTGGCTCCGGTGTCGGCCCAAGTCTCAGCTGCGTAGCAGAGCGCTGGGAGAACGGTAGAGTCGAACAGGTGGGCACGAAGCTCCGGGTCCGTCAGTTGGTCGGTGGCTTCCTTCAGAGGCCCGAAGGCGGCCCAGGCTGCTCTTCTTCTCCTGTTAAGTTCTTCCCTCAAGTCGTTCTCCATGTTCATCGAACGTCCGAGATACACGTAAGAAGACGTCTCCATGATAGGGGTGCCTTCCAATTCCATTTCTGCATCTTCGCAAAGGGCGTTCTTCATGAACTGAGTCTTCTTCCGATTTATTCGCAGTCCGATCTTCTTCCCTACTTCGTTTAGTTCCTTCAGCATCGCCTCTGCTTCAGTGATACTGCTCGAGAAAAGGACGATGTCATCCGCAAAACGAAGGTTGGATAGGAATCTCCCATCAACTCGTATGCCTCTCTCTTCCCACTCTAGTGACTTCATCACCCACTGCAAGGCCGCGGTGAACAGCTTCGGCGAAATAGTGTCGCCTTGTCGAACCCCCTTCCCAATTGGAATGGTTAGGGGGCGATGGAATAGCTGCATCGTTGTTGTACAGTCCTTGTAGCAGTCGGCTAGTGTCCTCACGTAAGCTGGTTCCACTCCTTGATCGACTAGCGCAGACAGGATGGCGTTGGTTTCGACGCTGTCAAAGGCTTTCTCGTAGTCGACGAAGGTTAGGACGAGAGGCAGTCGGTACTCCCGGCAGACTTCTATGACCCTCGAAACCGTCTGGATGTGGTCCATGCAGCTGAATCCTTTGCGAAATCCAGCTTGTTCTTGGGGTTGGGCTTCATCCAGTGTCCTAGATATGCGTGCGAGGATAATCTTCGTGAAGAGCTTGTACAGCACACTCAGCAGGCATATTGGACGGTAATTTCGAAGATCTTCCCGTTCACCCTTCTTGAAGAGAAGGACGGTTCTTGACGTTCTCCACTGGTCGGGAATCCTCTCCTTCTGAAGGTAAGATGTCAGGTGCGACGCGAGAATCTCGTGTAGACGTTGTCCTCCGGCTCGCACAAATTCAACGGAAAGATGGTCTGGTCCTAGAGCCGTGGATGTCTTCATGGTCTGAATCGCCGTCGCAATTCAGCAGGTAGAATTCGTGTTGGTACTTTACTTCTCCAGTGAGAACAACGGGCATGTGCACGGGTGTTGATGAGCGGAAGAGGTTGGTGTAGAAGTTCTTCGCGATAGATTCCATGTTGTATCGGGAAGAAGTCGGAGTCCCGTCTTCGTTCAATAGTGCAGCCAGCGGTACGTGATATTCACAGAGGTCCCTTCGGCATTTCTTAAGACTTCGTCTTTCTTCGGCTGCTTCCAGTATCTTGGCACATTCTCCGCAGGCTCGCAATCCTTTCAGAAGCCGGTCGCAGTAGTACGTTGGGTCCTCCTCGATGGGCCAGTCACATCTTGATATGAGCTCCTCCAGCCTATTACCGTCATAAAAGACTTCCTTCCTTCTCGCGGCACTGTGACAGACTTTCTTTTCCAGCCTTCGGCTGAGTCGTATCTTCGCTCGAAGGAGGCGGTGATCGGAGCCACTGCAGAAGGATGGAACTACTGAGACATCGAGCAAGCTCCACCTTCGGTTGGCGAGAATGTGGTCGATCTCCGCGTGAGTCGTTCCGTTGGGCGATTCCCATGTCCACCGGCGATGTTCTTTCTTCATGAAGATGGAATTTCCATGGAAAAGTCGTGCGGCGGAGAGAAGCCCAACAAGACGGTTACCGTTTTCGTTCCGGAGCCCATATCCAAACTTCCCGATCCTATATTCCTTTTCTAGTGGCATCCCGATTTTCGCATTGAAGTCGCCCACAACATACTTGTAGAAGGACTTTTCGTTGCGGACGACCTCCTCCACGTCTTCGTAGAAAGCATCTAGTTCTGAGTCGTCAGCTGCTGATGTTGGAGAGTAGCAATTGATGATGCTGATGGTCTTCTGACGTGGAGGGCGTAGTCGTAAGATGGCTAGTCGGGGTGATAGGATCTCGTGCGAATCGACGAGATGGACGATAGATGGGTGGACGACAAAGCCAACACCTCCCACGTTTCGTGATGGAACCTTCTCACCACGAATGATGAGTGTTCCATCATTCATCTGTCGCACGTCCTTCTTCCTGGATTTCGTTTCCTGCAGAGCGATGATGTGGTACTTGATGTGCTCTGCAGCGTCGAGAAGAGCGTGGAGGTCGGCGTTTGTGGAGACTGTCCTGGCGTTGTAGGTGCAGAGCATGAGGCAGTCTCCGTGGCGTGTCGTCCGGGCAGACGTGTCGTTTTTGTCCAATCCAAAAGGCGCCCTGAGGACCCTGACATCAGTCTTGCTACCACCCGGCGCCGTAGGCGGGATCCGATGTACAGGGTTTCTTTCTATTCTTCTAACTGGTAGAGTAATGAAATTTTTTCCCCTACAAGAGCAGACTTACTAGGCCAACTCTTGATTTCCAGGGGCGATCGCTGACCCCGGGCTTGGAGCGGGGAGAACCGCCTAGCGACCTGAAAACCAGACGGCGGCGGATCTGGCCTGGCCGGCTCTTAGCTAGGCATCCGGCCGAAACCGGAAACGTCGAACTCCTTCACAGCTTGGGAGGCCCTGCCAGAGTATACACTCGGCTGTGCATCGCAGTTCGACACCCAGTGTCACCCCCACGCCACGATGAGGCGGCCGACCATTGTGGGGGCTTCTGGGGGTTTCTCCTAAAAGTCTTGCTAAAATCGACAGTTGGAATTGACATTTGAGATCAGTCATACACAGCTGAGTGCTGAAAACATGCAAATTGAGGCAGACGAGAAGTCGTACCAGAGCGGTCGAAATTGTAAATTCTTGAATTTCACAGTCTCCCTCACAACGTCGAGATAAGGATTTTCCACAAAATACATTGCAATAAGTATTTTATGGTACACAAATCTTTTGCACCATGTGAAAATTATTTACTGGTCTCGTGAAAGTCAGAAATTGAAAAATTTGAGACAACTTGAAGAAAGGCGAGATTACACGCTCGTCAAGGAATCCAGCTCCAAACGTACATGGCATAAAGACGAGCAAAGCTGCATAAATGCGGTCTGTTTCTCCAAAGATCTCATAGTTAACTATAATAATTGCTGTTATCGAGTTTGGCCGCTTGACTTGCTTTCAACTGAGAAAAAATTTCCGGAATGTTCCATTAGGCTATTACGAAAATAGGGGCGTTTTCCATGCTTCCATGGCAGTGTGAACATCCAAAATGCACAGAATGGAGCAACTACCATCAAAAATTCGCCTAAAATCGTGATTTATTTGAAGCGTGGAACCAGAATTCAAATAATCTAGAAGCCGTGGGATCTCAGAGGCGAAGTATTTACGAACCTCCTAATAAATGGTAGACTGAAAGGAGCGTTCATATGTCATTTGCTGTGTTTTTATAATGCCATGAATCAAACTGAAAAGAAAATTGGATTTGTAGGCACTCCGCTGTGAGCTCTACCCCTAACAACCATAGATCTCTCCCACATATGCTCTCAAATACCACCAAGCTTCGGTATACGACTAGTATGCCATGCTTGTATATGCCATTTATAAAATCGTGACAACGGATTTCACTGCGGTTTTTGCGTCCATAGGAGCATAAAACACTCATACAAAAAGGCATCACCTCAATGCTCAGCTCAGTCATTCCCAATGTCTAATCATGATACTATCATAAATGCAAAGAAGAACCATTCGAGCAGGGATGAAAACCAAGAAAATGCGGTTGCCGGAAGTGCGTCTGTTGCGCGATCGCGTCATCTTACAATTTTTCGAACGCTCTATACCTGCTCTATTTTCCAAGAAATTTCAGTTTTGTCGTGGAAAACTGCTAAAAGCGCATTTTTCGTAACAACCCAATTACATTGTTTATTTTCAGTTAACAGTATCTACGACAACGAGACTGGCGAAGTCTATGATGGCTATAATGGTGAGAGTTTCCACTCTTTCGTTCCAGTGCATCTCCCTAATAAGTGTGTTATGACGTAGTGACGTAACGTGAGAAAGTAAGAAGAAAACATTTATCTTTAATAGCTAAAATCTCTTCTCCAAGTAAGAGAAAGAAATAAGCTACTAATGATATGGTCACATATGCACAATATTTTTGAGAACCGTCACATTTGAAGTGAATAAAGGAAATCGCTCATTATTTGTACGCATACTATATGCATAACCTTGTCATAGTTTTACCTTATATCAGTTTCGATAATTCATGAGATTTTTTAGGTACTGCCGCTCATAAATTGAAGGCATCTGCCCGTCATAACACACACAAGGCCCGTATGCACGTACATCCCCGCGGGGAGGGGATGTGCGCTTAACCATTGAAATGATCCCCGCTGGGGATCCCCTCCCCTCTCCGCGCGAACCCCCGTATGCACAAAGACAATATCGTACAAGGGATCCCCTGTGGGGAGGGGAAGTGAACCCTCTTATGCACAAGAGGGGATCAAGCGGGGAAATCACCTTGCTTTCAAATTTTCTATGAAAAACTCTTTCTTATTTCATATTTTGACTGCAACTCATCTTCATCTCCTCACTTCAATTAATTTAGGGTTGTGGAATGTGCGTATGCAGTGACTGCGCTCGGGGCGCTAAAAATGATTTTTTCTACTCCCATTATGTTCCTGCTTTCTTGGATGCTGCCCACTTTCGTTCATGCTGCTCCATTTCAGCGTCAAAATGTTGAACTATAGAAGTTGATGTGTCTCTGCAAGGGAATGGGTAGAAGACGTTATGCTGCCGAAAAGGGGAGGGGGTGCCGCGCGGACGCTCAAAGCAGTATTCTAACATATAACAGAAGCTGCAAGTTGTGCCAGCTCTCCATAAACGCTGTAACTATCAGCTGCATATCGTCGTTTATCCCAGGGGAATGATCCCCAGCAGCCATCCCTGCTATGCACAAGGGGAACGCTGGGGAGGGGATCACTCCCCAGGGGATTTCTACTCAGAAATAGGCAAATATGCTACTTTCTAGATTTTTTCGAGGCAGCTTATGTTAAAAAAAACAAGATAATGGCAACATGTCATGAAATATGAAAGTTACAGTGTGTTTATTCAGCCTATATAGTAGTTAAAACTATTATGTTATATGAAAAATGCGCAAATTTCCTGAATGATAAAGAACTCCTACAAATAATCGAAATTGGCAGCTACTGTTGCTCGGATTTCTTCTCAAGAAGCGAATATAGAAAAGAAAGATAAATTGCAAGCCACAGGTCGCTGAGAGAAGAACCCGGCTTTCAAAGAAAATCCTCCATCAAAATGAACGAAATGCTTGGTAATGACTGAGCAGAACCAGAATATCCGCGTCTCTGGCATGATCTACACCATCGAACCCCTACTTCGTTGCAGGGGATGTCGATCCCCTCCCCCGCGTTATTGAGTTGAATTCGCGCATACGGGGTTCGAGTGGGGGAAGGGAAGGGATCCCCTCCCCCATTCGAACCCCGTATGCACTGGGGTTCGCTCGATCAATACCTCTGAAATCATTCACACCATCCCCGCTTAGGTGCAGGGGAGGGGATCGCTCCCCTCCCCTCTGTCATGGCGGGGTTCGGCGGAGGGGATCGTTCCCCTGGGGATCCAGCTCCCCTCCCCTCCCCAGCGGGGATGTACGTGCATACGGGCCTAATCATGATACTATCATAAATGCAAAGAAGAACCATTCGAGCAGGGATGAAAACCAAGAAAATGCGGTTGCCGGAAGTGCGTCTGTTGCGCGATCGCGTCATCTTACAATTTTTCGAACGCTCTATACCTGCTCTATTTTCCAAGAAATTTCAGTTTTGTCGTGGAAAACTGCTAAAAGCGCATTTTTCGTAACAACCCAATTACATTGTTTATTTTCAGTTAACAGTATCTACGACAACGAGACTGGCGAAGTCTATGATGGCTATAATGGTGAGAGTTTCCACTCTTTCGTTCCAGTGCATCTCCCTAATAAGTGTGTTATGACGTAGTGACGTAACGTGAGAAAGTAAGAAGAAAACATTTATCTTTAATAGCTAAAATCTCTTCTCCAAGTAAGAGAAAGAAATAAGCTACTAATGATATGGTCACATATGCACAATATTTTTGAGAACCGTCACATTTGAAGTGAATAAAGGAAATCGCTCATTATTTGTACGCATACTATATGCATAACCTTGTCATAGTTTTACCTTATATCAGTTTCGATAATTCATGAGATTTTTTAGGTACTGCCGCTCATAAATTGAAGGCATCTGGCGAAAACTCGACGCTCAACTACTCAGGTTTAGTAAATTTGACTGTATCTATATCTACAATAATAGCCTTAGTAGAGGAGATCTGCGTGACACTTGTTTGTGAAGAAATTTGACAATGCTTCTGACTTGCGTGAAAGAAATGGTCAAAGCGCATAATCCCGTTGTTCCCATGCAAATGGTGAGGGCTCAGCAGAGTTGGCACCGGGTCAAGCTAGAGATCGTATTAGGGACAAAAAGCAAGGGGGATATCGTTTTTGTAGCCGAAAAGACACCAAAATTGCAATTTTTTTAGTCGACGTTTCCTTTTTTAGCGTTTTTACACTTAGTGTTTAGGATCAAAGGAGGCTTCGTACAAAATTTTCGTGGTTAAAGGGGATTTCTTTGAAATTTTCCTGGTTTCAACGCTCAAACCTATGCGGTTTCATGCTATTTTTTTAGATCAAATTGTGAATTACAAAATTGCCGAATACTCGAACTCCAGCTATGAAGGACCGGCAGAAGACTTCGAAGATTTATTTGCGGTAGAATTACATATTTTAAAATCTGAATCTATTGTTAAACCATGGATCAACAGATTTTTGAGTCGAACGACACATTCGTCGACGGATCGGGTGAGGGAAACGAAGAATCACGAATAATTGTCTTCAGAACGCCTCTGAGTAATAAGCCAACTTACTCAATGTTTACTGCAAACACAACAGGTAAAATATTATTTTATCTCTATAGTTCCTCGTCACTGGTAACAATTTGCTAAAATATTCAATTCCCCGGTCATGAATCTTGTTTTTTTTTCAAAATAAATAAAAAATTTTCCTGCATGGTGGTAGCAGATGAGTCTATTCTTGGCGAAAAAAAAAGATGAGAAGGTACATTGCTAAAGATCGCGCCACTGCGCAGGTATATTAGGCTAATAGGTATAATTCTTAGAAAACGCGTTAGGCCTTCACAAAAATCCTAGCGTTTCTTTTCTAAAAATTTCTAAATTTGCGCTATCCACACGATTCGATCATTCGGAAAGGGAAAACTTATAGTTTATGAAAGCGTTAGAGAGGTGGAAAAAAAGACCCACTGCAGTCGCTATCACTTCCATTTAGATTGCCATAATTCAACGTTGCAAAAATTCCGAAATTGTCAGTTGCTAGGTTCAAAACTAACTATGTATAGGCTACTCCCAGGAGCATAGTGGTCTTTCATTAGGAATTTGCGCTGATTGGAATCTACAGGAGCTTATGGTTCTCAACTTCTGGGTACAGGGCAGCTAATTCAAACTCTTTGGTTCTTTTCCAAAAATCACTTAAAATTATACACAGTTCGCAAAGGCGTTTAACAAGCTGAAATTTTTTTAGTTGGAAATCTTGGAGTATACCGGGGTGGGCTCACTGCAGACGTTTAGATGCAGAAAGTGGAACCACCATTCTAGAGTATTACTATTCGTATTTTCTAGCCATCACGAAGTGCCACCGTATACATAATTATACGCTGATGCTCCGCGTCGACAATACTAACGATTTCAAATTTTTTTGCAATGTTATAATAAAATTTTGGCGAACTAACAAAATTAATGAAGAAGCCCAAGTCCTTTTGTTTTGTTGGCACCTCAACAGCAGAAACTTCAAACGCTTTTCAAGAAGGTTTCAATTTGTCGTGATAGAGGAAACCTACAAATTTTTCAAATTGAAACTTACAAACATTTGTGTCAAACTTACCCCGACGAATCAGCTTATATCGAACATAAGTGTGTGTCATATTAGTCTTTTCCCTTTTCAGGTATACTTCATTGTGGCGTTGCTCGAAGACGGAACATTTTAACTACTAATAATGAAACTCTTACCTAAAGAGAAGTTCACCTTAAACTGTATCCGAGACTTGTGCAAATGGATAGTATACATAGATTCACAGAAAATTATGATTATAATAATAAATTTTTACAATAGAGACTATATTTTTACTGTCAAAAGCAAAGCTGTACGCATTTTTGCATCCGGCTAGCCAAATAACGTTTTGGATTGAAACAAAGACTTACAGTTAGAATGGGAAATAGGGCGGAGACAGGAACTTTTGACCACCAAAAGAAGATAACGAATTTCAATCCGAACTTTATTGAGTTGATGTGACATATGCATTACGTAAAAATAGGTAACTCTCACTCTCATCTCAAAACATTATTTGCCTTTTAAACATTAGAACAGACTAAAATTCGAATTGAGGTATGGTGAAGATCCTCCAGTAACTTTGATATGTCGCTTTATTACCAAGAATAAAATGAAGAATGAAAAGGAGTTTTATTTTTGCCAGCGAAAAAGACCGGTTTCCACATGCGTCATGAAAAAGAAGAGTCTGGACTGGGTAGATAAAACTTCCTTGATTTTCACAACATGGGATTTATCGCACAGTATTCTGGACAAAGCTCCAACATTTACATCAATCGGGTCTTCATTAGCGAGACAAGCTCAACAAGGCTTCAGACATTCTTCGAGCAAAAGTTTGTATTAAAGAAAAAGTCTACATCCATAGTTTTATACATACCTTAGCAGTACATTGTTGATGCTTGAGAAAACGAGAAATATGAATTTTTCATGTTCAATTCTGTTCAAGAATTTAGTATGCAGATTCAATGTGCACGTATGGCTTCAAATAAAAATGTGACACTGACGCAAATCTCTCATGGAGGAATTATTGACGAGTTTAATAGTGAAATTAGTCTATTATTTCCTGAAAAGCTTCAAAGAAAGCCTTCATTTGCCTCTCCCAACTGTGGCATAAGCCATATCTCGTCTTCATTGTCATCCCTCATGTTTCAACTTTGGATAGAAAATAAAGAATGGGTAGAAAACATCACCACTATCAATTCATCACTTCCACCTATGGTAAGCTTCATATTGATGGAGGGTATCTTGCTAACAAATCATAAAAACTTATACGATGACTGTTTTCCAAGAAACCGTAGCGGTCAGCAATTTGGTGGGAATTGGGAAATTTCATTCCAAAACCCGAAAGCTTCCGGAGTTTTTAGAGTGACTAACGTTTTATTCATCTATCTAGCAAGTTTAGGTGCCGCTACCCTCCCTCGTCTTGAATTCTCACTTTGGAATAAACGCTGGAGTTAATAAAATCTTTTCAACTCTCTGCCATTCATGACCAAGTTTGCGGATGCCTGAAAGGTGTTGCCGTAGCCGATGAATGTTCACAAATTAATTTTAGAGAGTGAGCTGTAGGTAAAAAGTTTTTGCAGGAGTAGCGAGCTCCTTTGCGTGGTATGCAAGGCCCGGCACGAGCTGGCACCAGGGGAATTACAAAACGAAGTCTCCTCTAATCTTAAAATTGTCCCCTTCAAACCTCAACCCCAACCGTAAAAAAATCCTCGAAAAAGCGAAAAGTCGAACAAAAAACGTCGCAATTTGTGTGCCTTTTCGGCCACAAAAACGATATCCCCTTTGCTTTTTCTCCCGAAAACGATATCCAGCTTGACTCAGTGCCAGCTGTGCTGAGTCCTGGGCATAAGCACTATACAAAAAATCAGCTTCCAAATTTTTCTTGTTCCTGAAAGCACCAAAAGAAACTTTTAAAATCATCATAGAGGATTTAAAATATCAAAGGTCTCATAATTTCTTACCGTTTTTACTTTCTGCCGCAACAACTCATATTCTTCTTGTTCCTCAAGTTGGTTCTGCGGTACCATTTGGCTGAGCAAAGCAAGCTCTACATGACAAGATCCACTTTGCTCAAGTTTGTTCTATAAAAAGTTTGAAGCTGAAATTAAGAGAGATCTAAATGCCCGAAGTCAAGAAAAAGTTGTGTCGCCGTTCAGAAAATTTCTGCGGATCCCCTATTTAATTAGGCACCTACCTCTACTTCCTGTATATATATATGATTGTGCTTATTTATCCCTTGGTTAGAGTTTGAGAAACATACATGGACTAAATTTGGACAAAAATGCGCAGAAGCATCTTTTTGGAACTTGCTCTCATTTTGACTCCCAAAAATTCTTGCCTGTTAGAAGCCAAAAGTATGGCTGAAACCCAAAGGTTTATATTTTAGAGTTACCTATGTGAAAGCAGCTCAGTGCAGCTTTGGCACAGACACGGAAATCTTTTTTTCCTCAAATTCTAGTCATGCGAAAAATAAGCAAATTTACAGATGAATACCAGAGGAGAGCATGCCTGAGCATGTAGAAAGTTCCCAGAAATTTTCTCAACGGAGATAAAAATTTTTCCCGACTTAGCAATTAAAACTTCTTAGATTTTAGTGTTGAAAGAATTTTTTCTTAACTAAGCATACGAATCTTCTCGAATTTTAGGTTCGAACATTATGTAGAACAAGCTTTGAACAAGGTGGATGTTGTCTTGCAGAGCTTGTTTTGCTCTATAGAATGTTGTCACACCTATATAAGGAACAAGAAGAAATTGCGTAAAAAAGTAAAAGTAAAAAAAAATCTGGGACACCCTGATAGTAGAGGCAGGATATACAAATGCTAAAAGTTGTGCTCCAATTGTTTATAGCTGGAAAGAAAAACAAATATTGCATCCAGTGCTTCTCATATTGTTCCATAGTGTGATAGAGAGTAAAGACTATTGTCATTATTTAGTAGCTATTCACATCCTAATGCTGTTGCACCCTGAATTGCTTAACAGCTAGAACTGGGTACAAAATACGATGAAATTTTTCGAATATCATGTCAGTTTTTCTTTCTTTGCATTTTACCATATTTCTGTTTGCGAAAGTAGGAGCAATTACGGCATCATGGTTACTGAAGCGCTAATGCGTGTGCACATCTGCTGTTTAGCTTGACTATCAACTTAAACTCGCATAAATGGTGTCGGGCTTCGAACGCAGACAACAATTTTTTTTCAATTTTGAGCAGCCTGACAGTTTTTTCAGAATTTGCAACATTCATAGAGTAGCTTGGAGCTATCTTGTTTGCATAATATTGTTTGGCAATAGCAAGATTTATATTTAGTCTCTTGAGCATTCCATCAGAATGTAATGCTCCAAATTTGTTTGCTGTTGTTTTTTGCAGTTTTTGTTATACTATCATAAAAACTGGCCTTCTTCTAGGAACATGTGATTTCTCAATACATTTTCGTGATTGTGTATTCGAATCGTGTGTGTTCGGCCTCGAGCAAGCTCTGACAGAAGACTCAACTTGATCTGGAATGTCACGAAAGCTGGAACGTCTTTAACTGATATACAAGGTGTTCCAAAAGTATATATACACTCCCTAGAAGTCTTTTGCTGCCTTTAGGCACCATTTTGTAGAGCAGGCTTCAACTTAGATTTACAGTATGGAGCGAATCAACTATCTTCGTTCACTAAGTGGGATTACGGTAGGAACTTTAAGAAGGATTTTGAGCCATTGAGAGCTCGATTTCGCCTTAAGAAGCAACCAAACAATCTGGAAACTCTTACAGTAGGCTAATTAAAATCGCTGGAACCAAATATGAACTTCGCGTTTGACCGCAATGACTTATGTCTCCTAAACCGTAATAGCTGTTTTTACGATGATCCCTAAAACTGCAGTCACCCCTTTTAAAATCTTTGCCAACTCCTAGAAAGGTGAGCAATGAAATCAGTGCGCGCAAAATCCCTGATTCACCACTTTTCAAAATTTTTGGAAGCTTTTTTGAAACATGACTGACAAACAATGACGCTGTGAGTCAAAAGTTCCTACCGTAATCCTACTGTATTGAAGAGCGATCAGTGATTTGCAGCATACTGTAAATCTAAGTTTAAGCCAGCTCTACAAAATGGTACTAAGGTACCTTAAGGTTTATTCTTAAGGTAGGTAAAAGGCTCCTTGGAAAAAGAGATATCAAAGAACAAACAGTGTATACGTACTTATGGGATACCCTGTATTAGGGTGGACATTGGTGATTTAACATCTTTTGAAGGAATCAATCACTTTTTTTCTTGAGAAATCTACTGTTATTCTCTAACAAGGCTCGACACGAGGTGGCTTTCCGAAAATGCAAAAAACGAAGCCCCCTTTTTTTTCGCAAGTTTACGAAATTGCTCTTGACACTAAACTCCAAACGTTGAAACCAAAGAACGTAATATAAGTTGCGTTTCCAACCCCGGAAACGATATTCCCACTGCTTTTTGTCCCAAAAACGATATCCAGCTTGCCTACAAGCCACTCTTGCCGGGCCCTGTGTTCTAGATGTTTCAATTGTTACAGTTCCTCTTATATTATATTATGGTGATCCATAAGTCTTGCTTCAAAATTTTGGAAAGATAGCTATCTGTCTTCTCTATGTATTGCCCAAACATGAAGCCTAGAAAAAGAAGTCATGCACTTTCTATTAGTGCCTAGAGCAAGAACTCTTTATTTCGCATCACGGTGATACAAGCTGATAAAGAGAAACACTCTAAGTGCAATGTTTTGATTATTAGGCTCTAAAAATGCTAGAAAGTCCAAGAAATTCCATTATTATTTTCATTTATGGTTTTACGAATTGCGCTTATCCATTGTGATAAAATCATAGTGACTAGGTGTCTCTACTAATAGTTATAATTTTCAAATTTTCGAACTCGGATAGTTGTGGATTTTTGGCATTTTTGCGCAAGACCTATTGACCAAACCAATAGTTTACCTAATTCCACTCCATCGCACTATGTATTTAGAACATTTGCTATAGATAGACCTTGTCTCAATCCATCACATCATTGGATGGAAGTATATATGATCTTACATGGATGAAGCGACCAAATGAGACTCTCAGCATTCAAAAGAATGCTAGTTTCAGATTCCTCCTAGCTTGAGGTACCGGGATTAAGTACGATTCCTACGTAATAAAATGCCTGACTGAGAGATTAGGCCTAATGTACATCCGATTGTCTGCGATCAGGTTTTGGAAGGCGATAGATAATAAATGGTCGTGACCCGCTCATCTGAAAGTAATTTTTCGTTCCCATGGCGGTCATATAACCGCTATTTTT